GAGAGAGAGAGAGAGAGAGAGAGAGAGAGAGAGAGAGAGAGAGAGAGAGATGTCAGCAAAAACGCCACAAAATACAATAATAGGACACATTGTTTCATCACTTTTTCCCCTCCAGTTATTTTTTTATTTACTTATTTTCAAAGAGTGTTTGGTAGTTGGAGGGAGGTTTGGGCATCTATGATCTATCACATTTAGAAGCCAATTTAGAAGATTCACCAATCAAATTCTCTAATCATGTTATATCTTACATGATAAGCATGGGTTTGAAATAGCTTTCGAGCTTCAAGATGCTGAATTTTATAAGATATTAGGGAAGATTGGCATTGTTGATTAAAAATGACAGTTTTTAAATTACATTTGCAGTTTCAATTTTTCCTCCATATACAATGTAGTTGTTTAGAGGTAATTTTTCATAATTACTAGTAAACTTTAGCTATTCGTACAAATAAATTAGCATTGCAAATTAACAACTTAGAAAAATTGTATGTTATTTTAATATTTGAAGTAATCTATCTCCTAATTTTGAAGCAATCAATAACCATTTTTTATGTTTTAGTTATTCAATAAAACAATCACAAGTTATCCCACTAATACATTTTCTATCTATTTATATTATAATTATAATTATTATAACTCCCTTAAAAGTATGAGTTGTTTCGTGAAACTTTTGAATTGTCAAGAATATCCTCATAAAAAGATAAGTGTTAAGGTTATTAATGTAATTTTCTTATTCATGCTAGGAAGTTACAACTTTTAATTATTATATTTTACTTTTAGGTCTTAATTATATCTTTAAGTTCTTACACATACAAAACATTACCTACATCATCATCATCATCATCATCAACATACCCAGTATATTCCCAACAGGTTGGGGTCTGGGGGGTCAGTTGTACGCAGACCTTACCCTTGTAATTATACAAGGAGGCTGTTTCCATAGCGACCCAAGGTGCGTTGCGTCGTTTGATATATTTTTTTTCAGAAGCACTAGAATTTAGTTGAGCCATTTTGATATAGTCCATTATTAGCACTATGCCAGGAGAATTGTCAACAATGACTCTTCCAGCTCCATATGCAATGGACATTACAAAACATTACCTACACAAATTAATATTTTTTAAATAATAATTTATTCTTAATTATATTATTCTGAATTAATCTACAAATGATGTTAGGTTATGATTTGGTTATTTTAAAGGCATTTTAAAATGTAAGAGAAAAATTATTTTAAGATTTCTTAAATAAAAAATATGATATTTCATAAGGGGGAAATTCTACTAGAAGGCCTAACTTTTATTAATTGTATTAATCTAAGGCCTGAATTTTTTACTTTTTCAATAGAAGGCTTATATTTTAGGTTATTCTCACTTTAAGGCTTACATTTTAGTTAACTTTTCATTATAAGGTCCAACTAACTTTACTTTTTAATATAAATATGTAAAACAATTATTATGTGAATAAAATAATAATATTATTATTATTATTATTATTATTATTTTATAATTTATATTTTGCATACTTATAATTAAAAAAGTAATAAATATCATTAGCAAAAAAATTAATAAAAATTAATTTAAAGTTTTTTTTTTTTGGAAGCAAAAGTTGATACTATGTATGCTTGTTGAAAATGATATATTTTGTAGATTGCATATATATATATGTATATTATTTTTTAGTTTTATGACATTTATATTACTAATATAAATACTATTTCCATTACATATTTTTTGAATTCACTAAAAAATATAAATTACAAAATAATAATAATAATAATAATAATAATAATAATAATAATAATAATTTATTCACATAATAGTTGTTTTACATATTTATATGAAAAAGTAAAATTAGTTGGGCCTTATAATGAAAAGTTAACTAAAATGTAAGCCTTAAAGTAAGAATAACCTAAAATATAAGTCTTCTATTGAAAAAGTAAAAAAATCAGGCCCTAGATTAATACAATTACTAAAAGTTAGGCCTTGTAGTAGAATTTTCCCATTTCATAAGTGTGAATTATATAATGCACCACTAAAAGTATCATCTTTAATTTCTAAATATTATATTGTTTACCATACAAATTTTTTATTATAGTATTAAAACAATTAAACATGAACAATTTAGTGAACATGCATATGTTTGAGAATGATTGAATCAAATATAATTATTCAACATAACAAATGTCAACTTTCTGTGGAAAAAAATTATTTGTTATGTAAAAAAGATATGATCTTAACATATATATTTGTTTAAATTATTCACTAAAACAAATTATTCACTAAAACAATATGCATAATATGATTTATGTTTACCTCTTAATAGTATGTATAGTATAAATGTCTTTTATAATAATGTGTTACATGAATTAAAATAGCATTTACTGAATTGTAATATAAACAAAAATAGATCAATTACAGAAATAAAATAAAATAACTAAAATTCAATTTTAAATCTTGAATTTTATAATACGTTTTTCTAGTTACAATTAAAATTAATTAAATAAAAATAAATAGTGAATTTACTTTAAATATGAATCATTCATTAAAACTAGATAAATTTTCACATTTAGGATAGTCTTGAAAATCTGGGAACGAAGATAATGCATGTATGACAATTTTAGGAGATGCAACAATAATTTATGTTGGACAAGAAATGTAGATAGATGAGTATCTTTAATCAATAAAGATGTTATTATTCCTAAGCTTTTTCATGTATTTTTTTTTAAATAATTATGACTTTAAAGACATTTTCAAATATTTATGTGTCTCTTATGTCATTATGACTAGAGAAAAATTATATATATCTAGGTATTATGAAATGTTATACTTGCAAATATGGCTAATTGCAACCACTATAATCAAAATAATTGTTTAAATAATTATGACTTTAAAGACATTTTCAAATATTTATGTGTCTCTTATGTCATTATGACTAGAGAAAAATTATATATATCTAGGTATTATGAAATGTTATACTTGCAAATATGGCTAATTGCAACCACTATAATCAAAATAATTGAGAACGAAATATTCAAACATAATGTTTTAGCTTCCAATCTACAATAAAAAAATGATCATTATAAATTATAGTTATAACAAATTCGATTTATTTTTCAAAGAGTATGATGCAAAATAATGACATTAGAAAACTATATATTTGATGACAATATTAATGATAATTATTTTAAGCAAAAGTAGGGATGAAATGTTGATGAAGATATAAAAATAATGTTAAGATAAAAAAAAATATGAAAGAATCATCATTACATAATTCATTTAAACTGGAATTAGTAATTGTTCACATTTAGGATAGTCTTGAAAAAATTCGTGAATGAAGATAATGGATGTATGACAATGTTAGGAGATGCAACAATAATTTATGTCGAAAAAGATATATAGTTAGATAGGTAGCTTTAATCAATAAAGATGTTATTATTCTTATGCTTTCCAAGTGAATTTTCTTTTTGAAATAATTAGTTAATTACGACTTGAATTAAAGACATTTTCAAATATTTATGTATCTCTTATGTCAATATGACTAGGGAATATAACTATATATATCTAAGTATTATAAAATATTATACTTGCAAATATAATTACACTTGCAACCACAGTAATTAAGATAATTGAGAACGAATTATTTAGACATAGTTTGTTAGCTTCCAATAGACAACAAATAAAAAATAATCATTATAAATTATAGTTATAGCAAATTTGAGTTATTTTTCAAAGAGTATGATGTAAAAGGATGACATTAGAAAGTTATATTATGAAGATAATAATAGTGATCATTATTTTAAGCACAATGAAGATATCATTAAATAACAAAATCAAAGACTACAAATTTTTTTAGCACTTACATTTTCACTAAAAAAATATTAATTT